TTTGGAGTGAATCTGACCTGTTTGGATCCAATTCAGCTCCCTGGAACTTACAAGAATCCTTAGAGTTTGTGGAAACATAAGAATTAGACACATTAGCAGCATATTCATGTTAGATGCAACTTGGCTTTGGCTGAAAGCATTACCATTTTAAAATTGACAGATTTTTTAGGACAATGAAAAGCATCTTAATCTTGACCTTGTAGGTATGATCGCCCTTCCCATCCTCAGAACTTTGTCTTAGATCTTCCATCCTCAGACCTTTATACCTTACATTCCCAGACCTTCATACACCTTACACTTTCCTATCTTCACATAGATAAACCCTAAAATACCTGTTCCTGAAATCTGTTTTTCTTTAAGATGGCAAGACTACCAGTCCTCAAAAGCATCATAGTTCTTGAGAAGGATAAGATTTTACCTGAATTAATGATTAAAGAATAACAAAGCCTTCCGTCCATAGTAGTGGGCTGCAGGACACCTGCCTTCTTGCTGATAGCATGTGAACTATAGATTAGGCTCACCTACCGTTGACACAAGCAACTTGGGAAAATCGATTCCACTGTCCTCTTGTCTACGGTCTGGAGTACTTTGTAGCAGTTGAGGTGAAGGGCAGGGTTGCTCAGTGATCAACATTGTCACTGACTCAAGATGAAGCTTCTTCAGTGTCCACCAGTCTTCTTGGAGGAAATGGGATGGAAAACCAGCAAAAGCTCCTCTTCGGAAGCCCATCGGTCTGTGGGAGTTGCCAGGGGCCTGGCTCCGAGGGGGACACAGCTGTCCCGAAACCAAAAAGGACCCAGGGGTCTGAACGGAAAAAACCAAAAAGCACCACTCCTGGAGCAGGATTCCTAACCTGACCCTCAGGAAATTCAAGGGATATCTTACCTGATTGTAGCGAACAGGCAGATGAGTGGGTTCCAGAGATGGTTAGTTGGAAAAGCGACCTGTTTGAAGTTCACAGGTTCCCAGCACAACTCAAGACTGCCACAGGCAGGAGAAAATGCCAGGAAAACCTGTGGAGTCTTACGGCACCAAATGTTATTCTTTTGCTTAAATTAGAAATAAAGAAGAGGCACAGGATGACACATGAGACTATTTGACATATTAACCAGTTTATTATAGGCCTGGCAGAGTAGAGAGACTAAGAGAGAAGAGGAGCAGGGATAATGACTGACTGCCATGCTGGTCGCCATAGAGAGACAGACAGAGAGAAAAGACAGAGGGGCAGAGAGAGGAGAAGAAGAGGAGAGGAGAAGTGAGAGTGTAAGTGGGCAGAGGTCTGTGTTTTAAAGGGGTCCTTTGCACCTGTGTGCAGACTTAGTTCCCATGGAACCCTGGGCTGACCAGGGTACTGCCTGAGTGCATTCCACCAGGTAACAGAGGCAGACCAGCATAATGCCTAAACCTTTCAGTGTCCATGGGGGTATATAAATGGGAAGCCTTGTGAGATTGGAGAACAACTGTTTTTGAAGAATAGAAATCCATGAAAAGAATACATGTGTGAACTGATTCAGTTCCTTCACTCTCAGCCCAACCCCTTGTTGTAAGCATCCAGCCTAGACCCTGAGAAGACACAGAGGCTGGAGCTCAAAGGGACCCGAGTTCCATCTTCCAACCACATGGCAGAAGAGTTCATTCTCTAGTCTTGCCCTCTGACTTCCTTGCCGTGGCAAACAGACATGTGTTTTTAAATTATGAAATTTATTCATTTGCTGTGTGTGTGAGTGAGGCCACATCATTCATATGGAGGTTAGTGTATATCTCATGGGAGTCCATTCTGGCCTTCTACCATGTGGCCCCAGTGGTCAAACTTAGGTCATCAGTATTGTTGATAAGGACCTTTACCCATTGAGTCATCTTGCCAGCCCAATAAAAAATTTTAAGGGCCAGTGAGATGTTTCATTCAGTGTAGGTTGGAAACTGTTACCAAGTCTTAAGGTCTGCATTTGATTCTGGGACCCATGGAGTGGAAGGATTGAGCTGATGTGGAGGAAATGTCCTCTAATTTCCTGGAATTCATTTGCCTGGACATACACACATGTACACACACAAAATAAGTAAAAAAGATTTAAAATTTTCAATTCTGAGATACCATCTTACTCCTGTCAGAATGGCTAAAATAAAAAACACCAATGACAGTTTATGCTGGAGAGGATGTGGAGAAAGGGGAACACTCCTCCACTGCTGGTGGGAGTGCCAACTCGTACAGCCACTTTGGAAATCTGTATGGCGACTCCTCAGGAAAATGGCAATCAGTCTGCCACAAGATCCAGCAATTCCACTCTTAGTCATATACCCAAAAGATGCACATTCACACAACAAGGATATCTGTTTAACTATGTTCATAGCAGCATTATTTGTAATAGCCAGAGCCTGGAAACAACCTAGATGCCCCTCAACTGAAGAATGGATACAGAAAATGTGGTACATTTACACAACAGAGTACTACTCAGCAGACAAAAACAGCGGAATCTTGAAATTCATAGGCAAATGGATGGAACTAGAAGAAACCATCCTGAGTGAGGTAACCCAGTCACAAAAAGACAAACATGGTATGCAATCACTCATATATGGATTTTAGACATAGAGCAAAGGATTAACAGTCTATAATCCATACTGCCAGAGAAGCTAGGAAACAAAGAGGATCGTAAGAGATACATACATGGTCCCCCAGAGAAGGGGAAAGGGACAAGATCTCCTGAGCAAGTTGGGAGCATGGGGGAGGGGAGAGAGAGTTAGGAGAAAGAGACGGGGAGAGGAGGACATGAGTGAGCAGGAAGGTTGAGTCAGGGGAAGAATAGAGGAGAGCTAGATAAGAGATACCATTATAGAGGGAGCCAGTATAGGTTTAAAGAGAAATCTGGCACTAGGGAAATGTCCAGAGATCTACAAGGATAACACCAATTGGCAATCTCAGCAATAGTTGAGAGGCTGCCTTAAATGCCTTTCCCTGATAATGAGATTGATGACTGACTTATATGCCATCCTAGAGCCTTCATCCAGTATCTGATGGAAGCAGAAGCAGACACCCACAGCTATACACTGAGCTGAACTCCTGGAGTCCACTTGCAAAGAGGGAGGTGTGATGAGCAAAGTGGTCCAGATCAGGCTGGAGAAACCCACAGAAACAGCTGACCTGAACAAGGGGAGAGCTGTTGGTTCCCAGAGTGATAGCTGGGAAACCAGCAAGGATTGATTCAGACCCTCTGAACATGGGTGTCAGTTTGGAGGTCTGGGTAATCTATGGGGCCTCTGGGTCCGAACTGAAAAAGAAAAAAAGCACCGCTCCTGAAGTGGGATTCGAAACCTGACCCACCGGAAATTCAAGGGATATCTTACTGGATTTTAGTGAACAGGTAGATGAGTGAGTTCCAAAGATGCTTAGTTGGAAAAGTGGCGAGTTGAAGTGTACAGAGTTCCGATATCTCAGGCTGCTGCAGGCAGGAGGAAGTGCCAGGAAAAACCGAGATGGAAAGTGAGTCATGAGTTCAGATTTTAGGATCCCTGAAATTTCCCACAGCCCTGGCAGGAGAGGTTTCGGGAGAGCCTAAACTGAGTTGGGTGCCAATTATTATTCTTTTGTTTAAATTAGAAATAAAAGAAGAGGAAGAATGCAAGATGAGACATGAGACTATTAGATATATTAAGAGACATATTAGACATATTAACCAGCTTATTATAGGCCCGGCATAGTAGAGAGACTAAGAAAGAAGAGAAACAGAGTTAATGGCTGACCGCCATGCCTGGTCATGAAGAAGAGAGAGAGAGAGAGAGAGAGAGAGAGAGAGAGAGAGAGAGAGAGAGAGAGAGAGAGAGAGAATAGGTGGGAGAAGACAAGAGCAGAGGAGGAGACGGTAGAGAGAGGAGTAGAGATAGCATAAATGGGCAAGGGTCTGTCTTTTAAGGGGGTCCTTTGCACCTGTGTGCAGACTTAGGTCCCATGGAACCCTGGGATGACCAGGATACTGCCTGAGTGAATCCCGCCTGGTAACAGACTCAGGACAGCATAATGCCTGAACCTTTCACTCTCCTTCAATTATGTAGGTCTTAGGGAGTGTACTTAGGTGTTCAGGCTTGGAGGCAAGCCTGTTAACTGCTGAGCCATCTCCTCTGCCCAGACAATCCTTTTTCAAAATGCCCCAATGCTTTGTGCTGGTTGTGTTGAACACTTCCTGGTGTTGACTATCTAAGAATGCTTACACTGGAAGGGATCCTCCTTTGTCTCTGGATAGAACTGCCTGCAGAGCATGTAGTACCTGCTTATATGTGCTCTGCTGCTGTGTCTATAAACCCTCTACTGTGGCTACAGATGCTCCACTAAAACTATGCTGGTGCTGTTGACATGGAACTGAACCCTCCAACTTTTCCTCCTCTCCAACAACCTCCCATAATCCTCCTGAGATGGTTAGAGGGACCCAGCCCTCTTGGTGAGCATTTTTTATTAGATGTTAAACACTATTAAATACTGTCAAGAATGCTACTGTTATTTTTGTGGTAGTTGTTGTAATGTAAAAAGTGCTGCACGAGAGAAAGACGCCATGCGACAGAGTTTACATGGAGGGGTTTTCTATTAAGGGAAAGGGAATGGGAAAAGGAAGAGGGGGAGGGGAAAGACCAGCTTCTGGGGACAGGAGTAGCAGAAGAGAAAACAGAGGCTGGGATGGAGCAGAGAGACAGGCAGAGGAGAGAGAGGGAGGGAGGAGGGATGGAGAGAGAGAGAGAAACAGATAGATAGATAGATAGATAGATAGATAGATAGATAGATAGATAGATAGAACAGATGCCTGAATACTAACACTCCTCCCTTGTAGTGAGAGATCTTACTAGGTACCTGTGGTACTAGGTACCTACTTACTAGGTCACAGGTGTGTATGTGAGTGTGTGGGATTTTGGTCTGGGATAGGGGACAGGCTTGCTCTCTTGGTTCTGGTCGGGCTCAGAGGGCAGCTAAGATTGGATTCTTGGAGTGCTGACCCTGGGTTATTGGTTTTTCATGTAAGTGATTTCTCCCCAATAAAATTAACCTACATCATTCCAATCCCGTGTATTGTAATCTGTACTACCACACTCACTTTTTATTTACTATAAAAGGGGGAGGTGTTAGAAAGGGGTAGCAGGCAGGGATGAGGACACAGTGTTCTCAAGACTACTTCCTGCTAACCTGGGGGGGGGAATCATTCATCTTTGGGGGACCTGGAAAAGCTGGGGTGCTGACCACGTCTTGGAGTAGCTGTTTCCCTTCACTGTCCTGGTTCTGTGGAACCGTTAGGTGCCTCCTGGACCTGGCAAAACGCTGTTCTTGGTAGATCTAAGTCGACTCCCTAGGGCTTAAGGCACCTGAACTTTTCCCATCCCCACAGCACCAGATGTGTTTGCTCGTCTTGTGCCTCCAGCTGTATGGCCAACAGCTGGTAGTCCTGCAACAGCTGATGAGGAATGGCCAGGGAGTCTCCAGAAAAACATCCCAAATGGGAACAAGGAGGTATAGATGATGACATAGCTCCCATGAGTGAGGCAGAGAAGTAAGACCCAAGGGTCTGCAATTCCTAGCATGCTAGGAATTGACAGGGTCGATTTCAAGACTGCACAGGCTGCCCAGTGAGTCCTCACACAAAGGGCAGGGCCAAGGGCTTCTGAGCCTGAGAGAGACACACTCACCTGTCATCAGGACTTTCGGGGGGGGGGAACAGAAGGCGAGGAGAAGACTGTGTTTGAGAAAAGAAGCCTCATATCCAGGGGAATGGTCAGAAGCGAGAGACTCAATTGCCAATATTGAATGGAAGGCAAAGTTGCCAGTGAATGAGAAAGCAGATTTGTTGCAGGTGGAAGAGAGTGGCTCTGTTGAGGGTGGAGCAGGTGGTTAGGGTTCCATCCTGAAGTGATTACAAAGTGCCGGGAAACAGATTTTTGGTAGACTTATTCCCCATGAGTAAGGCAGAGCGAGATCCAATGGCTTTTTATCAAGCATGGATCAAAAGAAAGACACAAGCTGCCTGGTGACCATCAATCAAGTTGTGGGGCCTGAAGGACCCTAGCGTCCAAGAAATGAGATAGATACAGGCCGTCCAGGGAGTCTTCACACAAAGGGAGGAGGACAAGGGCTCTGAGCCCAAAAGAGCCATGGTTGCCTGGTACCGGGGCTTAACGAGGACAAAAGGTGAAAAACCATGCTTGAGAGACCAGTCCTCACTCGGGGAAATAGAGGTGGGGAAAGGGGAAATGGCTCACCAATTATGCTGGTTTTCAATGGAGGGTCCCAGCAATCTGGAGAAAGGAGGTTGTTGTATGTGGATCAGGTTCCCAGCTTGCCTCAAACAGCCTGTGGGCAGGAAAAACTGCCAGGAGAGCCTTTCCCAGTCAGGGAACCAATGTTGTAATTTAAAAAGAGGTGTATGAGAGAAAGATTCCATGTGACAAAGTTCACCTAGAGGTTTATTATTATTATTATTATTATTATTATTATTATTATTATTAATTGGAAAGGGAAAGGGAAAAGGAAGGAAGAGAGGGGAAAGACCAGCCTCTGGAGACAGGAGAAGCTTAAGACAAAAGAGAGGCAGGGGCAGAGAGGCAGAAAGGCAGAGAGGTGGGCAGGTGGGCAGAGAGGGAGGGAGGGGGAGAGGGGGAGAGATGGGAAGTGGGCAGGGCCTTTTTAAAAGGGAACGTAGTGAAAGTGCACAGGTGGTGCTCTTTGTAGCTGCAGCTGAGATTTGTATCCTGTCAGAATACCAAGGGCAGGCCAGTACAGATGCCTGAATAATAACAGTAGTACACACTTACTATCCCAGCATTTGAACAGCTAGGGCAGAAATGTTAGTACTGTTAAGGGGTACATGAAGAGAAAATCTCCTGAGATGCCTGAATAAACAAAATGGAGTCTTTATTACCAACTGCACTGCTTGTCCCAAGCACAGTATCAGGAAGTAGTCTCAATCTCCAGTTTGAGTTGTTAAAGGAAAGGACCATAACTGTGATGTATACAGAAAGGCAGCTCTGGATATCTGCAGCAAGAGTTGCTTCCAGAAGCAGAAAGACAGCAGTTAAGAGGCCAGGGTCACATGGTGCAGGAATGTATGACTGGTTTCTACTCTAGGAGTTTATGGCTGAATCAGAGATCCATTTACCATAGGGATCTATGACTGGTCTAAGTGACCAGAGACCAGAAATTAAAATATGCCAGTTGGCGTGTCACAGGAGCAGCATGTGGCAATTGAAGTTCAAAGTGTCAGCCCACCAGGAGGAAACTCTCTGTTAGTCAAGGCCCTGAGACCACAGACCCTGGAATGTCTTTTGCTTTTGCTGTGCCTTTACATGTTTGCTGCTGTCATCTTTCTCTGGTATCTTTCATGGTGCAAAGTAGTGTGTTTATGTCATGGAAACATCGAGATCTACTGGGCATTTTTATCTGTGGATTGTCATGAAGATGATACCTTCCTAAGATGTATTGTTTAATTGATAGTAATAATGTTAGCTTAGATGGAGTTTTGATGAGTAAAAATAAATACAATGAAATGCTACACAGGCAGGGCCTTTGAGTTTCACTGAAGAAGCTACATAGGGAATAAATAAAGTTAAAGATTAAGGAAAACAATCTCCAGGATCCAGGCTGCCTCTAATTCTCTTAATGCTGAAAGACACATTCACAGTTTCAGTGTATATCATTAGCTGAAATAAATCTCTAAGATAACTTCAGACTAGATGAGTTGCTTTCATAAAAGCTTTAAGATGAAAATCCCAGGTGTCTTCAGGCTCTGGGCTTTGGAGGCCAGAAGCCTGTGGTGGT